ATGCTTTTTCCCATCTAAAAACACCAAGAGGACACAGAAGTCGGGCAGACAGAAATCAAATACCACCTTTATTGCTGAAAAGCTGCTGGAGAATTTAGATTAAGTATGAGGGCCAAATGGGCTTGCTAGCATTTTCTGCCCTGGCCTGTCCAGTCTAGACTTTGAGATAGCATGCTCAAGAGAAAGTCCGGCCAGCATCACGGCTTTACTAGTCTGGGGCAGAGAAAGTGTCTGCCACAGCTTATAGCTTTTTGAGTGACTGGCTTTCCCCAATCAAGCAAAACAGACCAAAGGCAATCGCCCTGCACGGAAAGATGTAAGAGATGGGTCAAGAGATCAGCAGCGTCTCTGTAGGGCAGTCCCTCCCCCTGGACATAGGATGAGTGGGCATAACTGCCCCTACCTAACACAGGCTGCTATTCTGCACATTTAAAATACAGATTGAAAGAGCTTAAAGGGTTTATTAATTCTGATTAAAAAGTGAAAATCCAATATTTTGTAAGCACGTCACTTAATAATAGCTTTTCTTCTTTTAACCAAGTTTCAGCCTTCATTTAACGTAAGGATGCAGTTATAAATAAATTTTATAAGAGAAAGAAGCACATTTCCTAGCTCTATTAATAGGAATCTGTAATGACTGACTGGCACCAGGAAGACGACTCTGACTTCTTCAGAAAGTAAACAGTGCAAAACTGAAAATAACTTAGCTTAACACAAGTTCAACTCCCAGATTTTTAAATGACTATGAAATATTTATTGTTGGCTAGAACACTGTACAAAGCAATGGAAAGTCACGGTCCCAAAAGACAATAGAAAAAAAAACAGAATTGCCATTGATCCCACAAGGAATACAGGGGTACAAGGAGCAGGAGCTGTTAGAGGAAATATAAATAATGTGTGGAGAGCCAGAATTGACGTTACTAATGAAAGATACCTCAATTATACATCTCTTTTCCTTCACTCCTCTAATCTTCCACCCTACCTCCTCTGAAAAGATGCAAAATCCAAATTGGGATGCCCATGAACCACTGCAGTCATTCTAAAAATAGGATGAACCTCTGGTATGTTACCTCTATGCACCCCTCCCATGAAGACTTCTGGAATCCATTCCAAAGCTTCTAGAAGCAATCTGAAATCTAGAAATCTACAGAAAGGGGTTCCTTCACTGTACGAGGGCTATAAAAGCCCAAATATAAATATAACCTGTTGAGTAAAAACTGTCCAGCAACAACTCATTCGGGGAACTACTCTTTAGTTTTAGTTACCATGTTTATATTTCTTCATTCAATAAATATTTAAGTGTCTACTATATGCTTAACTACGAAGTAAATAAATAAATATAATATTTGTCCTAAAAATGAAGCAACTAACTTGCCCCAGGTCATAAGTCAGAAGGTGGCCTGGTCCAAGTTCTAAAAGTCATTGATTATTCCAATTTCAGAGTTTAGGAAGTGACCGAGCTAACTATTTTAGACCTGGTAGAATGGGGTAACGTGGCCGCCACAGGCAGTCACTTTCATCCCTGGCTTCTAGTCTCAAGTGTGCATATCTCAAAAGAATTTTTTACATTAACTGTTTCCAATTCTTCCCCTTCCTTCTCTGCTGAACCCAATCTACCCAGACTATTGACCTCACCACGCCACTGAAACAGCTCTTGCTGTGGTAGCCAGTGACCTCTGCACCATTAAATTCAACAGGCAATTCTCAGAACTCACCTTATTTGAATTATCATCGGCATTTAACTCAGCTGATCACTTTCTCCTCTTAAAAATACTTTCTTCACTTGACTTGAAAGAGACCAGCTTTTCTTTGTTTGCCTCCTACTTCACTGGCTGTTCCTTCTCCATCTCCTTTGCTGATTCCTCCTCATCTCCCTGACTCTTAAAGTTGGGAATCTCCATGGCTTAGCTCCCAGACCTCTCATCTCCTTTTACATCCACTCTCCTGGTGAACTTACGCAGTTCCCAGTTTCCTGGCTTCAATTTACCTTCAAAGTGCCAGGGACTCCCAAATTTACATCCTCAGCCCTAAGCCTTTCTTCCTGCAGCTCCAGACCTTTATAACCAACTGCCTATATGCCAGCTCCGCTTGAATATTTAATAGACGCCTCAAAATCAACATGACCAAAACCAAATTCCTATTTTCCCCGAACCAAACCTGCTTCTATTGCAGGTTTCTCCATCTCAGTAAGTGGCAACTGCAATTAGACAACCATTTATTCAGTTACTGAGGTCAAAAGCTTTACAATTATCCTCAACTTGTCCTTTTTTCTCACATCCCACATTTAATCAGTAAAATTTTGTCAGCTCTATGTTCAAACTAAATCCAGAATCAGACTACTTTGCACCACCCAGGTCCACTCCACATTCTATACCACAAATTCTACACCACAAATATCCCTCTAAGTAACTAATGACGTACATACAGACAATCCTCAGCACAATAAAGTGATCATTTTGAAATTTATGTCAAATCACGTACCTCTTCTGTTCAACCTGCCCCTCCCCCCAGTAGATCCCCAACTTACTTATAAGTAAGAGCCCAAGTTTTATACTGGCTTACAAAGCCCTACAAGATTTTCCCCTGATCCCCAGGACTCTAATCTCAACTCTTATTACTGTCCTCATCTCTCACCCTGCTCCAGCCACACTGGCTGCCTTGCTATTCCTCCAACACCAAGCAAGCTCCTGCCTCAAGGCCTTTGCACATACTTTCTGCCTTCCTTGAACACTCTTCCCCTACTTACTGACGTGGCTCTTCCCCGTACTTCCTTCAGAGGCCTTCTCTGACCATCTGACATTTATATTTACTTGTTTGGTTGTTTACCATCAGTTCGCCCCTAATAAAATGTGAGTTTCATGGGTTTTGTTTTATACACCAGCCAACTCCCAGCGCTTACACTTTAGTGTAAATAAACCTGTTGAATGAACAACAAACTGATAAATGCATAGAGCCACGCCACCACTCTGAGTAACCTACCTACTTTGTCCTGGTCCCTCATGGCCGGCTAGTCACCAAAAGACTGGGTGGCTCTGGCCTGAAAACTATACATTAAGGACCTAAGACAGGCTGCATTTGTCCCTACCAAATTCCTGGCCCCCTGACAGTCCTCCAAGAAAGTTAAGATTCAATGTCGCATAAAGAACTTGTTCCAATCAGTTTCCCTGCTTAGGTAGAATGAAATTTCTTCTGGCATTCTTTCCAATTTCAACACAGCTAGGCAGAGAAACACAGATTAAAACATTTTCTGAATCCTTCTTTTCAAATTCTATGTTGACATAGAATCTTCCCGATTATCTACGCTTTTTTATTTTCCCATCTTTGCCCATATAGTTAAGTGCTCTGGCTGTTCACCCTGCCTAATTAACTCTGCAAATTAAATTGCATGAAATTATAAAATGAAAATTCTATGAGAGTTCACATGCAAGCTAGGTCACATAATCTAAAATTTAAAATACTGCTACTAAGTTTCTGTATTCTCTTAAAGGGGTTTAATTTTCCAAGAATAACTGGAAAGCACCTTCAAGATCTTTGGATAGGTTATGTGCATGACTCTCTCTAGCTACAGAATTTAATCAAACAGGATAAATTCTAACAAATATTCTCAATAATAAAGGCATTCTTAAAAGTCTTCAGAGTTATATTTTCACTAATGATTTTTATACATATTGCATCATCATTTACTTTGAAAATGAGATACATTTCGTCTCTGTGAGCAGCAAGTGGCATCAGGTGAAGGTAATGAATATAGACAGTCATTACATAATTGTTTGCATATAAGAATTTGAAGTGTGAAATGCTTATACTTTATAACTCTTACAAAAATGAAATTGTTAAAATCATGGTGCCATGGCAACAGGAATTTTATATTCAATTATATTTAATTGAAATGTAAACTTCCATTTAGTGTTAAGCTCAACAGTAATCTATACGGGGAAAATGTACATTTCACATCTAGTCATGTGAAGTGTGCCTTAAATGACAATTGTTGGTAAACAATTTTTTTTACACCCACAACTATTCAAAGCATTTTATGAAGGGCTCTACCAGATCGTGTGAAATTCTAAGTCTTTCACCTCATAATCCTTAAATCAGGGAAACATCATCTCCTTCACAGTAGGATTCAGATAGAGACTGGATATCTACCCTTACCTCTCCGGGGGGGGGGGGGGGTGTAAATAGCAAGAAACGGACTAAAGTCTCACGTTAAAAAAAAGGAAAGGAAAGGAAACGAAAGGAAAAGAAAAAAAGAGACGATCCTGCGTTACTGGTTGGGCTTCTCTTCCTGTAGCACCCCAAGCGCCCTTACTGCCCAGAAAACCTCACAGCTCCTTCTCTGAGTTCCAGGACCCACACGGTAGGGGCTTCAAGTTCCAACAGATTTCTAAACTGTGATGCGAACCCTGAACCACGGGCTAAACAGATTCCAAAGCACAGTGCAAGAGAAACTTCTGCAACACAGACGCCGACCAAAATGCACTCCTATCTTCCCAGAAAGGCAGAGGAAAGGAGGCAGCTAAAACAAGGATAAGCGTAACGGGGAAGGTGAAAATTTAGGGAGCTGGCAACTCTTTCCTACGTTCAGGGGGCAGGAAAGGAAAGGGTGGGTGGACAAGGTCTACCCACACTCTCTTCCTTCTTCCTCCAGCACAGCTGGGTGGGAGGATCTGCCCCAGGATGGCAGAGGTTAGAGAAGGTATCACCGCCACCACAGGCGGGGGCACCGTCCAGCCTGTCACCGGGACCGGAGCTTGAGAAGGGGACAGGGCGGTGAGGAATGGGGGAGGCGGACCATTCCTTCTGAGGCTGGCCCGGGGAGACCCTGGCGGACCGCGCAGAGGAGGGCAGCCAGTGCCCAGCGTGACCAAGTCCTGCCCGCCTCCCTGGGAGGAAGCGGGTCCAAGCGCGCCCCAGCCCCTCCTTTCCGCCGCGATCGGCACGTTTCTGCCCGGCAGGCGCCGGGGGAGGCGCGGCGCTCGGTGGGCCGGCGGCCCGCTCACCTGCTGGACCCCGAGGAACTCGTAGAAGTTGAGCTGCACCTCCTCCACCAAGTCGAACAACTCCAGGTCGCCGCTCTCCCAGCCGCGCGCCGGCCCCGCGGCCGCCAGCAGCAGCAGCAGCAGCAGCGACAGCCGCGGCGGCGGGCACGACACGAGCGGGAACCGGCGGCGCCGAGGCAGCCGGGCCGGCGCGGAGCAGGCAGCCGGCATCGCGCTGGGCTGGGGAAGGTCACCCGCCGCGCAGCGCCGGTGGCCGAGAGCGCGGACGTGGCGGGCAGCGCGGGCTGCGGGAACGGAGCCTCGCAGGCAGAGGCAGGGCGGCCGCCCCGGAGTCGCCGGCGCAGCGGCCCCGCGGCCCAACGGCCCAGCGGCAGGGCAGGGGCGGCGGGAGCGGGCGGACCGGCGCGAGTGCGCGGCCCGGGCACAGCCGCTCTCCCTGCGCGGACCCTCGCCCCAGGGCCTACAAACAGCTGGAGAGCCAGCGCCGGGCGCCGAGGTTGCAGAGGGGAGCGGCTTCCCCTCGCCTCAGCCTATCCCCGGCCTCGCTTCCGGTGACATCACGTCTCCTAGCAACCGCGGGTGAGGGGGCGGGGCCGGAAGTGGGGAAGCCGGGCACCGAGATCTGGGCCTCCCAGAAATGCCTGTCGGTTGCTGCTGGGCACGGAGGAGCTGTGTGTGTGTGTTTCCGCAGATTAAGAGATCTGGGCGATGATACACGTCCTGTATCTACCTGGAATATCCAAACTATAGAGTTCCCCTGAAACAGCTACCTTCTGACCCTCGCTCAGATATTGAAATCTAAAAGCATGTTTGAAGACTGATTTATTGATTACTGCCTGTGTACCGTACCTTTCATTATTCCATCAACAAAGACACAGGAGGAATTGAACGCAGGGCCTGAAAGGGGCCAATATAGTGAGTAGCCTACAGTGTCCTTTTAAGAGAGGTGGAACAGGAATGTGGCAAAATTGACCATAGAGGAGCGATTTAAAAATGGAGTCGGAGCTGCCTTTCCAGAGAAACGGTCTTGCTGACTTGAACCCTGGACACGACCAAAATGGCAATTGTTTTACAAGCAATTGTTTGAGAAGTCAGCAGGAGAACAGACATCCTGATCACAAAGACTAAGGAGTGTGGACTTTCTGAAGATGGAATCAATAGTCAATGTTCAGCTAACACTAGCTCTCTGCCCCTAACCCCAATTAGAATTCTTTTAATACAACCTCCTGTTTTTGCTTTTGAAAGCCCCTGACTTTTTCTCTCTAGTGGGACACGATTTTGGTTTCTACCTGGATCTGTGCTCCCCAAATTGCAATTCTTGAGACCTCAAATAAACTTTTCGTGTTTCTTTCACTTTATGCCTCTCATTTGTTGACAAATGGAATTTGAACCAAGACAGAAAGTATACTTCTAATTATAAATTAAGGTTTCCAGGCATAATACCGTTAAATAGGCAGCCTGGTAGAAATTAATCAGGGTGACTCAATCATAAGCTTAGAGGAAGTGTAGCCTATCCACCTTAGCCCACTTCCAATTGGGGTTCCTTTCCCAACTGAAGTCTATTTTCAAAGACACTAAGGCTAAAAGCCTCTTCTCTTTCCCACCAATATCTTGCCTCCTACTTTTAGATTCTGTTGAGTCTCTTTGTAATTTGTTTTTCTCCACCACTGTTGCTTTTTCTGGCATGAACCTTGTTTTCTTCTTAGCCTTCTCACATTTCTCCTCCCTGACTCCCTACTCTTCTTGAGTAAGTAGAAGGGAAGAAAACATACTTTTATAACTCAGGGTGCTCTCCCAGTTTTGAAAGTTGGAACTTATGCTTTTTCCCATCTTGGATCTGGCCAGTTAAACCAAGCTCAATAGGATAATGATAAAGCTACTTTCTCTCTCATAGTAAGAATGTACTATGTTTGACAAAGGTTAGGACAACAGTATCTAGGAAGTAAATCTTAATGAAGAAATCCTTCTATTATTTCAGAGTTTTAAAAATGTTTTCAAATAATCATAAATGAATGCAAATATATTTTGCTTAAAAATAATATATCTGCTTGAATTAATCACATTCCAGATTCAGCATGAGGCTTGCCTTTCAAAGATACAAGAGCAGGGATGTTTTAGTCTGCTAGGGCTACTATAACAAAATACTGTAGACTGGGTGGCTTAACCAAAAGATATTTATTTCTCACAGTTCTGGAGGCTGGGAAGTCAGAGATCAGGGTGCTATGACAACTGAGTTCTAGTAACAGCCCTCTTCCGGACTGCAGACCCCTGCCTTCTTGCTGTACGCTCACACAGTGGGAGTAGGGGCAAAGGAGAGAGAGAGAGAAAGCGATCTCCTGTTTCCTTTTATAAGGGCACTAATCCCACAGTGGGGGCTGTACCATCATGACCTCATCTAAACCAATCATCTCCCAAAGGCCCCACCTCCACATACCATCGAATTGGGGATTAGGACCTCAACATATGAATTTGGAGGGCACACAAGCATTCAGTCTACAGCAAGGAGTATGAGCTTTTCTGTGTGTCTCAGTGCCGAGCACAATGCACAGCACATGCCAGCATTTGATTACAGTCATGCGTCGCTTAATGACTGGGACATGTTCTGAGAAATTCGTTGTTAGGTGATTTCGTTGTTGTGTGAACATCATAGAGCGTACTGAAGGGGAGCAAAATTTGCCACCCCAAAATGTGTCTCTTTAACATGAGGATTATTTTAGGCTGATTATTTTTAAGAAATACAAGACTTGGAAAATTTTTCCTATTACTTTTCCCTTAACTGCCTAAAGGAATTCAAATAAAAAAACCTGTCTTAGGAAGCAAGCTGGCACCTTAGCATCACGTGAACTAGGTGATAGATGGGGGAAGAAGCTAGAAAAGCCTGTTTGTTGGGCTTCCCTCTGTGTTCTTCTGTTTCTGTGTGGCAAGACAAAGACTTGTTTTCCAAATGTTTGCTCCTTTTCACCTACCTGTGAAATCCTCATCCTCCACATCTTCTCTTGTCTTTAGCTGAGGACGGTATTTAAGGTGAGGGCTTTGGCCATTTTGGCAAGTTACTCAGTTTTCCTGGATTTCTCCTGTGTATACATGTTATTAAACTTTCATTTGTTTTTCTCCTATTAACCTGTCTCATGTCAGTTTAATTCCTAGACCAGCCAGAAGAACCTAGAAGGGGAGAGGAAAATTTCTTCCTCCCCTGCAGTACTTACACAAACCTAGATGGTATAGCCTACTACACACCCAGGCTATACAGTACTAACCTAATGGGACCACTGTCATATATGGGGTCTGTCATTGACTGAAACATCATTACGCAGCGCATGACTGTAATTGAATTGAACCCTGTGAATACCTTCCCACCACCACCATTTCCCCTACTACAGTTTTTTAGTTTGCTTTTTGATATATCAGTTTCCTTAAAGTGAAAGTCATCTTTATGAAGTCTCTAAATTAGCTTACTGTTTATTTAATGAGTAGAACATCAAAGTAAGATGAAAGTAATAATCTTAAGCATTGCTTTTACATAATATCTCAACACTTATCCTTTCTCCTAATTTGATCACTGGATTAAATGCAATATAACTTTTGACCCCGGCGCCATATTGCCACAGATTTAGGGGTTTTGGTCTGATCTTTTAGCAGACAGTCTAGTATTTCCCTCTTGAGTTCTACTCTCACATTGTCCAAGAACCCCAGGGACTTACTGCATTGAAAGTCTCTTTCCCAGGCCAAGCTAAAACAGAACTGGAGGACTGCTATTGCTTCTCACTGCCATAAGGTATTGCTCTTGAAGCTTCAACCTGCTCAGTTCCAGTGACACTTGTCCACTCTGAAATGATGTCCCTGCTTGTTCTGGTCCAGGTCTCTGCAAAGACCACAGTGATATTCACATTTAGATTTCTAGTTTGACATCTTCGCTTGTTCAGTCGTTGTCCGCCAAAGGACAATGCAATTGAATCAATCTTCTTTTGCTGAGGCCTGGACTAAGTGAGCTGACAGTCACCAGCTGTTTTCTTCTCTGGTGACGCTTAATGATTCTGGGCCTGGATTGATCAAGCTTGGCCTGGGCAGAGGGAGTTTACACAGGAAAAGAGAAACCAGTGAAATGTTTAACAGTCATGTGAGTTGTGTAATGGGTTTGAAATATAGAGGAGCCCTAAACATATAGCTAGCTTTCCCGCAGGACATTTGCTGAATTCTGGGGGTGTTGCAGGAGGCTGCAGGACTGGGCCTGGCAGGCAGAGTAAACTCTCCCCGCATTCTGCTAGTGCATACAAAATGCACTCTGCCTAGAAGGAGGAGCCTGCCTCAAATACACAGGCAGTCTTCCCCCTCAAGACGTTTGCAATGTTTCTGAAGTCGTGTGAGTAGGAGCCTAAAGATCTAAGCTTAAAACTTCTCTTAAGGGAGAATTGAATCTGCAGGCTGAGGAGATAGAAACCTTGCAGTCTCTCTATCAAAAGCCCAGAGGAATCACCCCCAAGGAACTGAGAGAAACCAGTGTGGGCTGAATCTTATTAAAACTGCACCCCAATCCCAACCCAGCTGATCCCTGACCCTCACCCTATTTGTCTGTTTTCCTCTCTAGGGGAAGATAACATCATCTGTGTCGTCTATAGTTTTTTTTATGTAAAAGTCTGGCGTATGATAAAAAAAAAATTATAAGATGTGGGAAGAGCAGGAAAATTTGACCAATAATCAAGAGAAAAAAAAAATAGCTAGTAGCAGACCCACAGATAAGCCCGATCTTGGAGTCCAGATAAGTACTTTAAGATAACTATTATAAAATAGAGAGATTGACTATAAAATAGAGGAAAAGGGGACAAAATGGATGAAAAGATGCAGAATTTCAAGAGAAAATTGTATCAATAACAAAGAATCAGTGGAAAAATTTCAAATTCGAAAATATAGTATCTGAAATCAAGCACTCAATGGATGGGTTTAACAGTAGGCTGGACACAGCAGAACAGAAGATTAGTGAATTTGAGGACAGGTCAAGAAAACATATCCACACTGAGTACAGAGAGAGAAAACAAAGGAGAGACAGAACAGAGCTTAAAAGGCATGTGGGACACAGTGAATAAATCTAGGATATAGGTAACTGGAGTCCTAGAGAAAAAGGAGACAGAGAATGAAGCAGAAGCAATATTTTTAGAGACAATGGCCAAGAATTTTACAAAATGAATGAAAGACATGAAACCAAAGATTAAAAAAATTAGCTCAAAATAGGTCAGAGACCTAAATATAAGAGCTAAAACCATAAAACTCTTATTTTAAAAAAATAAGAATAAATTTTAGTGACCTTGGGTTAGCTAATGGTTCCTTAGATATGACACCAAAAAGCATGTGACAAAAGAAAAAATAGATAAATGATCTATATAGAAATTTAAGACTTGTGTTACAAGCAATACCAGCAAGTAAGTGAAAAGACAACCAAGAGAATGGGAGAAAATATTTGCAAATCCTATACCTGACAAGGGACTTATATAGAGAATATGTAAAGAATTCTTACAACTCAACAACATTTTTTTCAGTGGGCAAAGGATTTGAATAGACATTTCTCCAAAGAAGATATGCAAATGGCCAATAAGTACATGAAAAGATGCTCACCATCATTAGCCATTAGGCAAATGCAAATCAAAACTACAAAGAGATACTTTATCCTCATAATGATGGCTATAATTAAAAAAACAGACAACAAAGGGTGTTAGTGAAGATGTAGAGAAATTGGAACCCTCATATATTGCTGATGGCAATGTAAAATGATGCAGCCCCTTGGGAAAACAGTTC